CTCAACAAATAATAATTTCTTCCACATAAGTCTTTAACTTAAATTTTAATGTTTTAAAAAATTTTGGGATATTACATTACCAAAACCTTTAATCATGACATGTAATAAGTACAAGTTTTGAGCCATATTTATTCTTTTATATTGATCAATACCATATATTGATCAATACCAAAATATCAATCCTAGTTTTGAACTATATGCTTCAACCATTCAAAGCTTCATCTTATACTTCATGTATAGGCTTTAAGCATTATATGCTTTAGGCATATTAAGTTACAAACTTCTCATATCTGAAATGGACTTTTATATAAGTATAATTATCATATATTCAAATGTCGGAACATTTATAAAATGCTCTTGAAGTCCTTTAAAGATTTCTAAAAATATGATAATAATAAAATCTACCAAGAGAATGTTTTCTCAAAACCAATTTCAAGTCTTGTATAAACCTTTGTGTTATAAGTTTTGCTTTGTATTTATTATATTCTCGTAACATGAAATATCACCTTAGTTTTAGGCTAAGTGAGAATTTCATATTTTATCATGTATTTTATCATGACATAGCCTTTTGTCCATTAAAAATAGCATATAATTTTCAACTTTTTTTCCATCATTATATATTTTGTATAATATAAGTGCATGTATACTACATTTTGTTTATCACTCAAGCATCATTATACGTTCATTATATAGTAGCAGTGTCTTTTCAACTTTCCATTATTGATTTCATTATTGAAAATAAGGATACATCTTCCCAAAGTATTTCTCTATCAATATGTAATCTATTTATTGATAGATATTAGATGAGATTAATGTGAATCTCAAATTTTGAGATATAAATTCTTCTTATTATAAAATTCATATTGTTTATAGATGCATTTTTGCATCTCATCTTCTCATTAGAAATAAATTCTTATTGAAGAGACTTAATATTAAAGAATTCTCTTTTTAATTCACAATTCCTATGTTGGGATATGTGTTTGATTTCTCAAATGTTTGAGTTATTTTTCTCCAATATTCTCAAAATGGATATCAGATATTCATATTTAAAACAAAATTTTGTATCACAAATATTAGAAGTGCATATCCATAATATTATTTTCTACAAAAATATGTTTTTGCATCTTTTTCCTTCTTATTAAGTAAAACTTATAACAAATTAAGTAAATACTTAGAGACGTACATTAAATATAAGAATTGCTTGGACATACCAAAAAGATGTGACCAATACTCATTTATGTCACATCTAAAGATTCTCAAATTCTTTGCCAACTTATTTTGCCAATATTTTCATTTTTGCATAGTTCCATTTTCACAATCATATTCATAATAATGATTATAATATAATGTCACATTATTTTCAAAGAATGGAATCAAACCAATGGTTGTGATAAAAATTGCCCTCTCAAGATTGTTGCTTCAAGAGCATATTCGAGGCATGAAGAGAAGAATTTGTATTCTTTTATATGTTTTCATCAATAATCATTTTATCCACATAAAATAATTAAAATATTTACAGATTTATATTTAAATAATAAATTGGTCCATGCATAACTAACTTTTTGGAAGAATTGAAATTTTCTTTTTGATGATTATTTTTCATTTAAACAATTCTATAATTCCAATGAATCATTTCATCATCAAATATTCATCTCTTAGTCCTTTTCGAACTTCGCATTAAAAATATATCACTTTGTCGTAATCCTTTAAGGATGCCCTTTTTTTTTCTCTCCTCAATAATATTTTCTCTCTTTAAGGGATGCCTTACTCTCTTCTTCAATTGAATCTTCAAGATTCATTGTAGTTAAATGATTTTCCACATCAAAAGTTTATGAAAAATAGTTGGAGCACAATTTATCAAGGGTAATGACCTCAATTCTTATAACAAATGCAAAATGACATATAAATAAGAAAATTGTTATAACACTATAAATTATTCAAATTAGAAACAAGATATGAAAGACAAATTTGTTTCAAAATCTTACTTTAAAACTTTACCTCAACTTAAATCTTTACCTCAATTGGTTCATCACTTTAAATGAGATTCATTGTCACGCCCCAAAACCCAAATTCGAGACGCGACAGACGCCGTACACTCGTGAGACAGGTCCCACAAGTGCACAAGGCTCGAAACTTATCATATCACACTCTGATACCACCAAAATCTGAAGATCAAATCTTTAAAATTTACTCTGATATCATAAAATCTCTAGGTACACTCTAGCTTACAAGATCATGATTTCTAAAATCTATATCAATCTCGAAATGGCTAGCTTTCTAACTCGTCACTTCCCGTGGTTTCCCCGTTCTCAGTTTCACTTCCTGAAATGGTGGACAAGGAAAACTATGAGATAAACTCAGTAAGTAAATATGGAGTGCCCCTTATCAAACTTAAAGCATGCCAACAAGTACAATCACGAAAACAAATACAGTACGGGCACGAAATAGACGTCTCCTCTATAGGTCACGGC